CGTCCGGTCACCCCTCTTATCAGTCGAGACCATTCTAGGCTGTCCACTGATCTGGCCATTGACCAATAAAATAAGCGTTTTGGCGTTCATAGACTGCTTTATCCGTCGAACCAGTCAAGCCACCCCACTTATCAGTCGGTTATTCCAGGTGAATTAAAATTCAACTGATCTGGTTACCAAGGAGATATCCATTGGATTAGTCATTAGTTTTAAATAATAAATAAAGCTGGATTTTTATCACGAAATAAATGCGATAATAAAGTAAGAATAATTAATGAATTTTTAATTAATATGAATAGGTATATTTTGAATTTCAAACATCAGTCGCGCGACGGATTTGACATACTCTAGATACGCCCCTGTATATATTTATATGCTCTTGGATTCATTGTTATAGTCTTTATGTGGAATGAAAAACAACTCACGAAATTTTACGACAAAGTAACGAACGCACAAAACGGTATTATTCGCCATCGTTCGAAAATCCGACTATCACAAGGATTACGACGGACAGACAGAAGGAAGGACACTTTTTCAGTGTAGCATAGTGGTTAGCCGCGCATGCGTAGCGGCTACATACAAAAACGAAGTGAAAACTATTAAACATAGAATTAAAAATAGGTCATTTACCAATCAGAACATGCATTTTGTTTGTATTAGTTGATGGAAAAAAATACCATTATGACCATCGACATAGCCAGCCTACAATATTATTCCTGCCATGAAAAAAAAGAAAGGTTACCATTACTCATTTTTTTGGTAATCTGTTGTTTATTTATTACTACAGCTAACAAAGAATTTTTAGCACAGTATTAATAAAGTTCTGCATTTACTAAGAGGAAACTTGAATAGTTAATCGACTGCTGATTGTGCTCCTTACAAATGACTTACTCTTTTTAGTGAAAAGATTGCTTCTTGACAGCCCTTGTTTAATAAGAGTCATTCAGTCTTTTCGTAACTTCGTTCAATTAAGTGTTTGCATCATCATTGTGCTGGTTCTACTTATTTTCGTCTTCGTTTGAATGTATTTATGCCTTGGTTAAGACGGCTTAAAAACGTCTGCAGCTCTTCACAAAAAGTCGATTTTAGCTGACAGGTTACAGATGTTTGACAAATTTTACACTTGCTTATTCTCAGTCCTGATTAGGAGATATAGACATTCCACGTGAATAGAATGACTGAACAACATCGTAATGCACCTTATATTTGTTGCATTCACGTAAAACCTTTCAACTTTGACAGAATTTGACTTAATTAAACATGAAGTTTCTTGCTTTGCATTACATGAAACCATCTTTATTATATTTTAGTTAAATTTATTATTCCCAATTGTAAAAATTTTCTGATCATGCAAGTTATGATTAATTAATTCTGCCATCAGAAATCTGGCAAAATGAATTATGTTGCTATTTTGAACCGGACAGTTAAAGCTCAATAACTGTTTTAAGTGCACACTTGCGAAAATTACGATTAAGTTGTTAAGTTAAAAAGATATTTTAAATGCTTGAATGCAAAAAGCTTAGAATTTTGTAACTATAATATAGAAACTGCCGCTTAATTAAAACTACATACTCACAGACAAACAAAATTTTGTTCTTTTACCTTGTAGGTTTTGGTTTTCCACTGAAGTAAAGCCTAAAGGCAACAATAGGATAGTCACGACTTCTTCCGACCAAAATTTAGATACCTCCATTTCGCATGCTTCACCTGATGAGAGCATCATGTACCATACATTTCCCCCCTTCATTGTGGAAAGATTGCGTAATGATAAAGGTTAACTTCCTTAATGGTACTAAAATCGTGACTAACCTAGTGCTCCCTTTAGATTTTACTTTAGTGGAAAACCAATCAAAACCTGCAAAGCAAAAGGACAAAGTTTTTTTAACTGTGGGTATAGAGTATGGCCCTGTTTCATAATGCAGCAGTTTGTACATTAAAGTTACAAATTCTAAGTATCTTGCCTTTTAGCACTTGAAATAACTTTTCAAATTAACATCTTAAATTGCATAAGTGTACATTTAAAACAGTACATGAATTTTGACGGTCAGCTTTAAAATAGCAACCTATTTTATTCTGTCAAATTTCTGATTGCACAATCTATTAGCCTAACTTGCTTGATCAGAAATTTATACAATTGGCGATAATAAATTTAATTAAAATATATAATAAAGATGGTTTCTTGTCTTGCTACGCAAGAAACTTCATGTTTAAATAAATTTAATTCTGTCAAAGGTAAAAGGATTTGCCTGATTGCAACAAACATGGGCGTTTAAAACGCTTTTATATTCTCTTGAAGAGTAAAGCCTGAGATGTTTTGTGATTTTTGCCGAGACCTGACTGAGACATGCCTGCGATGCTTTTCAATGACATAATTCATATGGCCGATAGACCACATAAATTCAGCGGCAGTTTGAAATTGAAACAATAAAAGGCAATTAGGCAACAATAGGATAGTCACGACTCTTCCAAATAAAAATTAGATACCTCCATTTCGAATGCTTCACCTGATGAGAGCAACATGTACCATACATTTTTCCCCTTCATTGTGTAAAGACTGCGTGATGATAAAGGTAAATGTCCTTAATGGTACCAAAAATGGCTGAGATGGTTGCAATTTGTGCGTACAGTTAACAATTTCATTAACTTGAAGTGGTTTTTGATCTGCGGCATCAGTGTTCTTGGTTTTTTCTCTAAAATTTAGAGAAGATTTTCAATTGTGCATTCATTCAATATTGACAAAAATCCTTGTAAACATTCATACATTGTGTGGGAATTTTCTTGCCAATATTTAAATTAATAGTATTATATACCAATCATCACCCAACATTTCAACAATGACGTGGGAAATGTATGGTACATGTTGCTCTCATCAGGAGAAGCATGCGAAACGGAAATATCTAAATTAAATCATGAAAAATTCGTGACTATCCTATTGCTCCTATTAGATTTAACTTTAGTGGAAAACCAATCAAAACCTACAAAGAAAAAGAACAAAGTTTTTTTACCTGTGGGTATAGAGTATGGCCTGTTTTAATATGCAGCAGTTTGTACATTAAAGTTACAAATTCTAAGTATCTTGCCTTGTAGCACTTGAAATAAATTTTCAACTTAACATCTTAAACTGCAGAAGTGTACATTTAAAACTGTACATGAAATTTGACGGTCAGCTTTAAAATAGCAACATATTATATTCTGTGAAATTTCTGATTGCACAATTTATTAGCCCTAACTTGCTTGATCAGAAAATTTATACAATTGGCGATAATAAATTTAATTAAAATATACAATAAAGATGGTTTCTTGTCTTGCTACGCAAGACACTGTTTAAATAAATTTAATTCTGTCAAAGATAAAAGGATTTGCCTGATTGCAATAAACATGGGGCGTTTAAAACACTTTTATGTTCTCTTGAAGAGTAAAGTCTGAGATGCTTTGTGATTTTTTTGCCGAGACCCGACTGAGACATGCCTGCGATGCATTTCAATGACATAAATCAAATGGCCGATAGACCACAAAAATTCAGCGGCAGTTTGAATTTGACAAAGTAGTGCTTCGTAATTTGAAAATATCGTTACAATTAGCAAATTATGCGGCCCTTTTAACAGTCATTTCAAAATACATCAATGATGGGAAAGCAAGTTTGATAAAAAGAGAATAATTTGGATTTTAATCTTTGAATTTGATTTTGTATTCTAGACACGATTTATCATAAATAGGCCGATAGTTGCGTATTGTATCTATAACTTTTATTTTATCGTAAAGTGATCGGAATTATTACATTGAGTCTTTTGGTTCCATGTCTTGCGTTGAAAATTCATCCCCATCTTTTACCAAAATGCTTGACGGAACTTAACTCAACTCTTACGGCATTTCGGCGATATACCGCAGGTAACTCCAACAACAGCCTGAAACACCATTGGTGTGTCAGCGATGAGTGTTCACATTTGCCTTAAGAGCAACGAGGGCATCGTCACAGGTATGCCTCAGTCAAGTCTCAGTCATGTGTGAACTTTGTCAATGGCAAGTATCCCAATCAATATTCGGTTGACAATTCAAGTCTTCTCTTCGTCAAGGCAGAACCTTAGTCATAAAATACCCACACTTGAAATGCAACCAAATCTTTAAAATTTTTGACCAAAAATCACCAAGCAAGGACGACTCTGTTGAATTTTATCCTCTGATTTATCACTGCCATTGATAAATTTGGCGAGAATCTTGGTTGCTCGAGGTTTACACGATACACTTCCGACAAGAGAAGGATGACAGGTGTCAAATATTAAATTTTCAAACTCATTAACATAACAGTTATACATTGTGTAAAAACTTGCCAAATTTCGCCATTAAAAAAGGCAAATCTTGTACACCAAGCACATGACCAATGCTACTTCGTGCGTGTAAAATGATTGTTGTTCAACAGCCGATATATTCCGTTCTAGATCAAAGTTCAAAATGCCCACGAGGAGTTTGAAGAAAAGTGTTGCATTAAATGAATCTTTGTTTGTTTTTTACTCGAAAACGTAGCTCACAAAAGGCTTCAAACAAAGGACAATTTCTCAACCCTTTTTTTTGCATTTTTGCGTTTTGCGAGTTTTGATTGGCTAATTTTTAGAAACGTAAACAAACCTCTGATTGACTCAAAACGAAATTCTCCTTTGTTCATCGCTGTCCTTATTTTAGTAATTTCCAAATGGGCTAATTTTAATTGCAGCTTTTGTTTAATAGTTCTATAGATCTTTTTAACTGTTTGTATAACAATTGTAATAAGAAATATCATTATGACTGGCAACATAGCCAGCCTACAACTTTGAATCCTGCCATGTAAAATTTGCAACATAATCATTACTCATTTTTTGGTGATCTATGTGTCTGCATGCCAAGAGTTGACACATAAAACTAAGCATATCAGGACAAAATTATGGTTCACTAGCTACAACACTGATTTTACCTAGCAAATTAATGAATTTGATTTTGTGCTTCTTCTAGTAGCTAGAATCTTCTAGGACGTTGATTTGCAATATTGTGGAAGATCACAACGTCATCGATATTATTGTAACGATAACGAAACTTGCTGTTCTCGACCCGGTCCTGCTGCTAGATACTACTGTTGTTTTGAATATTCAGTATGTTGTCACAACGGGAATTGCTGCCCTCCTGGAACTGAATGCGTTAATCCCATTCTTTGTCGCCTTTCTCAAAACATGAGCAACTACTACATAAAGTGAAAATCTTTTGTAGTCCATGAAACATTTTTACATCTAAAACGTTTGGGTGAATGGGAAATTATATGTAAACACTAAAGCATATTATTATAGCAAAACAAAAATCAACATATGTATAAGTAATTATTTTATGACAAAAAATATAGCAAAACTTAACATAAAAATGTTAACTTGTTACATTCTTTGTCGTCACCTTTAAGTTGAAATTTGTAGAGGATGGTGATATTAAGGGTGTGATATGGTCAAGAAAATATTTTGAAAATATAATATAATGCTGATATTTTATATACGAAAATACGAGAATCTGGACTTCAACGTCCTTGTCACAACGTTTGTTGATCTTGTTCCAGAAGTATGAACTTAGTTTTGTTTCACTGTTTACTAAATTTTACGCCTTCGTTCGCTTAGAAAAATTTAGTCAAACCACTACCTTTTGTTGCTATTTTATAAAACATTTATTTAACGGGTTTTGTTTATAATGCATTTTGACAACATAATGACCAGTTCAACCACATCTAAAACATTTATTATCATCTAATTGAATTTATTTTGAAGATTTCTCTTTTTGCTTATGACAGCTGGAATAAACATTTTCTTTTTTCACTTCGATATGAACATCATTGTTTATCTTACAAGCCTGGAAGTAAGAGGCTTCCTACACACTAGAGATTTGAAGTAGCTCATGTAATGTTAGCATGCATTTGTCTCTTTCCAACGATTTCCATCGGAGTGTAACCGAACGACAATTATGAATGACTTGAACACTAATGAACTCGTCACTTGATTCTCCATAGTTACAGGTTAAAGCCTTTGCTTGAGCTTTGACAAAAGTGATAAACCGTATCGTCTTCTTTGAAGCATACGCCGAAACATATGTCTTGCTATCCACTAAAATAGTCATATGACAGTCAGTTTGTAATATTTAAAAAATTGTTTGCAGCGCAAAAAATTATTTCAACACACATCAGCATTGATACATGCCTGTCGTTTGTATATCGCCTAATTATTTTATATACGATCACACAGAGAGTACATCCATAAGACACAAAGCTGACAAGACGAAGAAAAAGAAAAACACAGCTATTAAACTATATAGTCAGGTATAATTTTACTCTGCAAATGAACACTTTTAGTAAAGGCGATTTTCATAATTTTACCACGCTTTCTAATTAGGGACAAGTTTGAAAACATTTGAGAAAAATCAATTAGCGCAAACATGTTTCAAATTATCAGAATGCCATCTAATAACATTAACCATTCTGTCTGAAGATGACATTTGATAATATCGAAACATGTTTGCACTCAAATGAGAAATAAATACATGTTATTTACCTTCTGGTCGATGTAGAGATGAAATATTATTTTCCCGAAGACTCGAAAAGTTCTTGCTTGGTTATTTAATTTTCATTTTAGTCTTACAAACTTTTCTTTCCATTTTACGATATTTTTAGATTTAATTCTAAAATTACTTTTACCCTGACTGCCGATCTATTGTCACGTAAAAAAACGAAACAATCTTTTGATGATAATTTGAGGCTATGAGCGTCAATAAACGTTAGCATTACAAAAAACTTGAAGACAAATTTTTTATCAGTCACCCTAAAACTAACAGATGTTTGTCTTATTTGAAAACAAAAAAAAAGAAAGAAGGAAAAAAAATTATGCAGGTGAGACAAATAAACATGAAATAATGCATGGAAATAATTAACGAACTTTTGATAGAAAACAAAAACGAGAAGAAAAATTAGATGAAGAAGCAAGGTTGTAATCAAACCTTAATCGTCACCGAGGCACAGATTATCGAACGTTCTCTAAAATAAGTTGTGATACGGGGTCACCCCATCACCTCCTTATCGAATGGTTTTAAAGCTCAGGTTGTTGAAAGTGCAGTTTTCGTTTGTGGTATGTATTGTTTTTATCATAAAAACCTTAAACTGCAAAGAATGTCATTTAAACATTTTTAAACTTTAATAAAATATACAAGCATCGTTATTTTTTAATTGTCGCTTTGGAGCGTTTTCTTCCAGTTCTAGGCTTAAAAATTGATCAATATGCGAATGCCATCTCAACATATAGCTTACAAAACTAGTAACTGGAAACATTTTTCAATTTTAGCATTCCACTGAAAAAATGGCGAATAAGTTACAATCATAATGTACGTGTTGACGCAATAAACGAGTTGATTAGAAAAAATATCTTGGAAGGAGAAAAAATAAATTAAGTCTAATAACAACTGTGGCTATACCTGCATGGGAATGCAAAAATCAGAAAAAATTCAATTATAAAGATTGAAAAATATCAGCACTATACATGAAATCCCCTGAATGTGGAAAACATAGAGCGTAAAATTATTCTTGCAATTATTCCTTTAATCTCACATGACACACTCGACCAATGAGACTTACAGTACAGGAAAAATAAATTCTCACAATTGGAAGAATTGATATATAATAATGTATACACTTAGTCTAAGGGATTGGGCGAGTTTTTCCATCATTGTACACATGTATATCATGCATCATGTGATTAACATAAAAGCAGGCAGTTAATTGCAATTTTAAGGCAATACGGATGCTGCGATGCTGGTAGTAATATTAATCAAAAAAGAACACCATCAATTTTCATGGCAAAGTACACTTACTGTTTTCCACGTACTGTTAAATACGTGAAATCTAATCATTAGCAATCATAATTAGTGATTACACAATAGTAGCTACAATGCTATCTTCATGTATGACATATAGTATGCTAAATTTCAAGGCCGAGAAGCTGGGCTGTTTAGAACATACAGAAAAAGAACAAAACGTTTAGAATGAGAAATTCATACATCATGGAAGTTCACATAAGGTAAATCTTGCCAAATTCTATCCACTCACGCAGTAATGTGGTTATCAAATTACTAAAGCAAAAGGATTTTTCAAGACTACAATTATTTCATAACACATCAACATTCATCTGTCGTTTGACTTGATCAATATACATACGATCTTACAGAAGGCACATCACTACAAGACGTAATAGCTTTTTAAAAGAAGAAGAAAGAAAAACAGCAATAAAAATAGCCAGGTATAATTTTACTCTTTACATATAAAAATCATTAGTATATGCAATTTTGTTTATTCCAATTAGAAGAGAGTGTATTTCAAATATTTATAAATACATGTTATTTACCGGTTGGGAACCTGAGGTCTCAAAAGTTCTTGTTTGTTTTTTGTTTTGCTTTTGGTTTTACAAAACTTTTCCTAATTGCTTTACACTTAATTCAAAATTACGTTTAATAGATGCCAATCTAATATCAATAAAAAGAGAAAATAAACTATTATTTTGATGTTAATTAGTAGCTATGAGCGCCTATGAAAGTTAGCCGTGTAAAATGTCGAAGACCAAAATTCTGAATTCTCATAACAAAATACAAATTTCATCATTTTATTGTAGTTATGAAATTATTCTACACTGTTCTGATTCTTTTGATTCTTGATAAATCAATATGAATATACTCAAACGAACTATCAAAGCAAAGATTGTTAGAAATGAGAGAAAATAGGTATATGGTCTTCTATTTTACAAATTTAAATATAGTATTGCAGCTGAGACCATACTATTGAAGGCGAAGTTCAAAACATATTTAGTAATATCACTAACATGAATTATTAGAAATTATAAAATAACATATGCCAAACGCGTGATCTGCTTAAATGATCCATGTTTTGGATCAGACTCAGTGATCAAGCAATTTAAAATCGGTAATTGAAATAGCTTTGGCGAGAATTTTGAACATGCCTAAAACAAGGACGATCTTTTGCCATAAAAACATGGGTGAATTAAGAAAAGCGCATGAAACACTAGCTACGAAGGTGAGTGTTTTGCAAGTCCGAGTAAGAGACTAAAATTAAGTCCATAATTGAGTCGAAGGTCAAACTCTAGCTCGAGTCCTTGCTCGAGTCTTTAGGTCGGTATTTAAGTATCCCCCATTGAAGGATTTGTTACTTAAGTTAACCTAACTGTTACATTCTCTGTTCTTGCTTTCTTTTGGTATTTTAAGAATTTTTAAAAACAAGGATCTTTATGTCATCGGCTGTTTAAGGCAGATGAAAGACAGTATAGCATAGCATAAACCCTCAAAAAGCACGTTTCGTAATGCCAATATATTCTTCACGTTTTTAGCGGCTACACAAGAATTCTCTTGTTGTACCACACTATTCCTTATATTACCAAATCTACGAATTTAGTCCGATAGCCAAATGCTTGATTTGCAGTTTAAGCAAGTCAAATTGTTTGATTATCTTTGATCTAAAAAAATCCAATCGACAACTGCTTAGTCTATATGAAATTAATGTTCAAGGGTGGAAATTAGGGATCCGTTGAATGGAAGTGTAACTGGACGTCTAATCCCCGCGAAAAATTTGAAGCCAGCATTTAAACCAGCTAGTTCCAATTTTTCCATGCACGGCCAAAAGAAATCTCATTTACGTCAATAGCAAAAATGGCTAAAATGCTCATCATTGCCTGCCAGACATGCGTATCTTGTGAGTAAAACTTTGCTTCATGTAATGGAAATTAGAAAATGTGCATTCTCGAAAGTAATTTGACGACTACGAAAAGAAAGAGACAAGAAAAGAAATAAACTTATTTTTTAAGCGCAAATGTTTCATGCTACATACTACATAGTAAAATTTATTAACCTTGCTTGCTTTGTATAACGAGAAATACTGTACCTCTTTCTTTTACTCTTTTGTTACAAACCTTTCAGAACGGGCTTTATCTTTACAAAACATCTCGATCGGTTATTGATGTTAATTAAATTAAGCCGGTTGACAGTTTGACATTATTATTAATGCTGTAGCAACTGAGCAACTTAGAGAAGCATTCGTCATAGCAACAGAATGACATATCATGACGTGTTGATATGCTAAAACATTGGGTTGATATCATTTTTTTATAGATTATCGAGAAGTTTTTATTTCATTTTTTTTTATGTCGTTTATGTTTGCATGAGGTTAGCATGGATGAATATGTGGGAGAAAAGTTCTGGTACTTTTGCTACAGTCCTAGGCGTTTATCCACTACTGTATATAATGTGGTGGCATTAAACGGTTAGTATAGACTTTGTAGTAAATGATTTTAGAAAGAAGAAACGCATTATTAAGTCTTCATATCTGGAAAATTATTCGTGCTAAACATCAATGATTCCAAAAATCGTGTTTTTAGTCGCGCTTTGATAGCATTACAGCTGCAGCACATGCAATTTCTAATCTTTCTAATCTGAATCTGAATCTGATTGTGAAAATTAAATCAGTGTGGGGAGAGTGTAT